AATCATTCCTAGCATCAGACATTGGACTTGATACATTCTCAAACGTTTCGGCGGCATCGTAGTCGGCATCATTAGTGAGTTAAAGAGACCAGTTCGTAGCTTGGTGCGGCGAATGGCAAAACTCACTGAGGATGCCGACCACGATGCCAGCGAAACGTTTGAGAATGTATCAAGTCTAATGTCTGAGGCTGGGAATGATGACAACTACTATGGTAGACGACTTCGGATTAGATGCGTTCTACTAAGTCCCCCTGACAACAAGACCAAGTTGCGACAACGAGGTCAACCCACTTCTAATATGGCCTTTAGTTGTTCGCGATTTCATTTCATTAGGGTGAAAATGAAAATAATCCCGAGATGCTTGATATAGTAAGAGCCAATAAGTAAGAGAGACTTGATGAGGACTTCAAAGGAACAACTAACTAGTCGTACAGGTGTATGAAGAGGGAGCGATGTTGGTAATGGACGAAAACCAATATATGAAGAAAATAGATAGTAGGTTATCGATAGTAATACTTATCAAATATTATGAAATGATCCAACCATAAACATCAACGAGTTACTAAAGAATGTGCTGAAGAAAATGTATTAAAATGTAGAAATCAATAGGTTGATGATGAAGTCCTTAATTTTAAATGACGCAAGACCACCGACAGCCTACGGGCTATCTCAGATACACAGAGGGAAAACCACTTTGGCTGATATTCAACAGCAAGCATGGAACTACACACAAGATATCGAAGTTCATATGCTTGCAGCTCAAGAAAGTAAACAACAAACTATGAAACGCCTTGAAGAAGTCATCAACTTTCTGAAAATAACCAAAACATTTATCGACGGGGACGGATCTGTTTATAAGTTTTAATGTACAATCCATGTACACAAACATCTTAGACAAGAAGGCGGACGCCGGTCTGCTGGAGATCCTCAAACGAAAGGAGGATATCCTGGAAGCAGATCTGCTGAGGCAAAAGTCTTTAACGCAACTAGTTATCTGGGCAATGAGGACCAAATACTTCACATTACATGGCGACAGGTTACATTTTTTTCCTTTGTTATGAAAGAAATGTTTTATAAGATATACTCTTAGAAGTTGTGAAAGTACAGGAGAAATATCCCAAATAAACTAACTGGTAGTGAAAACGGATATAATATTGACAATCCTGTCACTATAAAAGCCCATAAACAGGAGTGTATTGACAAGCATATGCATACGATTACAAAAAAGCCATCAGAAGGCCTTCATGCAGCGGTTGTAATGGACCGAAAACAATATACAAAGAAAATAGATAACGACCTAAATACTTATCAAATACTATGAAAGGATCCGATGATATTAATTTTCTCAAAAGATTCAAAATACTAAACTGACAAGAAAAAGTTTTGTAACTTTTTACTTACAATCCATGTAAACAAACATTTAAGGAGAAAAGACAGTCACGGCTTAGCTAGATATCTTGAAATGAGAAGATGATAGCTTGGCAGCTGACGGGATACAGAAAGATTCTTAAACGTAACTGTTCAACTTAGCAATAAGGACAGAATGTTTTACATTCAACGGCAATGTCTATGAGCAAATATTTAGATTATCAATGGGATATTCTCGCCTCTTTTTGGATATAGATAGATGGAAAAATTTAGAAAATTTCAAGAAATCATCGCTCCAACCAAGAGTGCTTATGTGATTATTGGATGAATACTTTCCTCTTTGATCGTATGATTAAAAAAATTAGATAAATTTCTGGACTCTCTTACATGAATGAATGAAATAACTAAGTTTACTATAGAAGTGAAAGAGGCTGAGTGATTACCTTTCGTAGATGTGGCTCATTCACTCAAATAGGACACTCAAGAGGAGACTATTCAGAAAGAAATCTCATATGGGAATAGCCCTTAATTTCCAGTTTGATCATATATACACAGTGAAGATTGGAATTGTGAGGAGTTTGATCAAACAAAGTTTAAGACTAACGGATATGAATTCCTGGGACGACAAGTTGAGCGAAGTTACTCGAATTTTTATTAATAATGATTACTTCAGAGTAATTCTGAAAGGAAATGTAAAGGCAATAAAAAAAATGACTTCTTGGATATTATGAAGTTATAATTAAGAGTCAGGAGGATGACTGAAAGTGGATATGCATTTCCTCATTTGAAATAATTCTTAATTTGCTATCGTTGCTACAGAAAAGGCTACATTTGCTCACTTGTGCAACACTAGAAGCTTTACAACTACACTGCATGGGATTTTATCGCATTACATGCAACAACTGTGGGCAGCATGCATATGATAGCAGTGATCGTGTGAAAACACCGAACCAGAACGACTAGAGACGGATCTTACTGGGCAAAAAGAACAGTGATAAGACCAGGATGAAAAGTATTTCAGACTAATAGGACAGACTCGAATCAACACTCATCACATAGGGGAGTGTGAATAGACTTTATTAAATCCGCTTAAAAGGCACATCTGGAGTGAGTTAAAAAAGCAACCTAGAAATTGTGATATAAACAGAGTGATACGAAGATATAGGATAGTTAAATATACAAGGGCAGTATGAGAGATACCACAACTGTTTAGCAGACAAATGGTTAAAGGATCGAGTTAAATTGTGTCTTAGGAGAGTTGTAATGTAGTGCTAAGACTGGCAAGGCTTACGTTTAAGAATGTACCAAGCCCTTGATCAGATGGTAAAAATTATCATGGGTACTATGGCATGACTCCAGACAAAGTACCTTCATCTATGTCTCCCTGACAATAAAGCCAATTTGCGAAAACGAAGTATAACCACCTATATTTCTGCTTGTATTTTATTTTGCTTAGGTTGGGAGGAAATACTAGATTTTTCGATAGCTTCTTTACAACCACTATGTTGTTCGTTTGTCTTAACCTTATTTGTATGAGCATCCTCATAGGCTCAGACCTTCAGAAACACTTACAAACTTATTTTACTTGTAAGTCTTATTTCTTAAATGTAATATGATCTCATGAGAAATTTATGACTATTTTGTTAATTTTTATACTATTTACTATATATTGTTATCTTTTCTTACATAGGTTTTATTCTCTCTATCGATTTAATAGATTCTCTAACAAGTTGAACTACATCGTCCATTATTTTAATCATACTCTCGCGTCAAAAAAGCCAAATTGTTGACTTTCTATTTATTCTGATTAATACACACTTCCTCGAATACTTATATAGCCAGATATAAATGTTCTCATTTTACATTATTTTCACTCAACCACTTTGTCTTGATGCTCTTTCCGTTTTATGACAGGTTCAATCTCAGCCTTTCTCACTCACGGCAGGTCAATTGTTCAACGCTTGCCCTCTCTCGAAGAATTGGTCACCATCTCAGCCGAAAATGGAACCATCTCTTCTCAACTTCCACAAAAGTCCACTGCTAATTCACATGCACAATCAATTCCTAATTCCTTAATCGAAACCTCCAGTGCTGAAAGAAATGATCAAGCGCACGACGATTTTGCCTTGACTTATAGATCCTCCACTCAGACTCTTGGCCAGTTCCATGCACTAGGTGCGTTCTTTTAAACTTATCATGTTACCATTTTTGCCAAATATTCTAGCTTTATTCTTATTTCAAGTCCGGTTCGATTTCGGCCTGCATAACTAGTAAATCTTTTCTCAAATATTAATTTTTATGGCTACCTTCTAGACATGTTTGTAAGAAATCGACGTTCTTCATTATTCATGATTTCAGCAAATAATAGGTTCATTTTCAGCTTATACGTTTTTAAAACTTTGTTCAGACTCCTTATATACTCGAAGTATACAAATACAAAGCTAATCTCAGCCCCAGCATAACTATTTACACGCTTATTAACTGTTAGTTTATCCTAAACAAATTGACTAATAGCTTATCTGATTGTCTCATTTCCTTTACCTCATTTTGTTCATTATTCTGAATGCTGGTTCTGATTTTTCATTTGTAATCATCAGGATTGGAGTCAATTTTATTATGTCAGCAATATGGTGGGCGCTTACTTTTAATTATATCTCAATTATTGATTTTCTCATACGTAACGAAAGCTATTCCAAATGTATAGGATTAAAAGCATGTTTTATTTCTTTGTTGATAATCATTTCTTTTCCATAAGTACTGCCCATTGATCGGCAATTAAATCCAAACTCAAGGATTAATTATTATTGTTCCTTTGCCTCCTTTCATAGTAGGTGTAGTTAACAGTTGGCGTAGTTCTAGCTGACTATTCGGAACGATTTTTATTATTATTATTTTTTTATTATTTGGTTCAATTTAGCTTCAGTCGGACTGCTTATATTCCGCTTATGACTTGGTTCACTACCGGACCTGCATTTGTTGCCTAATTATTGAAATTCATTAAAAGTTTCATTTGCAACTTGTCTATCTTATTCGCTTTGCGATCGTAAATATTATTTTAATACTTTCGTTAAGAGTATATTTAGAGACTCGGTTGTTCTTAGTAATCCTAGATCACTTAAGGTGATTTAAGGACTTATTATTGATTTTTTTATAGTGAAATGCATAGGTCTAATGATGACATCGAATTTCATTTAGCTCTGCCTTCTAGAAGTTTTTATCATCTGGAGTAGATTGAAGTTTAGTCATTGCCTTGATCTCATCATTACCCTCAACGGACTTCGAAGTCTAAGTGGTAGCGATGTGATAATGTATAGCCGTAATACACACGACTCGGTTTCGAATGTCTGTGTGGCCTAAGCGAGGTTAAAACTACATTACACGCCGGATGAGAAACATTTTGGAGTCAAAATTGAGTATATTCTGCTTGGTAGTTAAATCTCTACATTCATATCCAGTTTTCCACCATTATATCTAGTGTACTATGTTATTCACATGTTCTTACAATTTCAATTTTGGATTCTAATGCCTTTTCTAGCTGCTTTTCGTTCTAATAAATTCTTATCTACGGGTCAGCTGGTATCTCCTATATAGCCACTTGGTAAACCATCTGAATAAGGCAAATGCAAGTGGATGAGGAAGAGATTCGTTGTTTGATCTCACCAGAAGACAACAGCCTAATTCCATTGTACTGCAGCCATTTGGTTTTCTTCTACAACGTTCAGGTTGACGCAGTTCTCTAGACAACCTCCCTTGTTTGCGGTAAAAACAGGCTAAGATTTAGTTTACCCTATGCCGGACATCCTCAGAGCTGGAGCTCATTCTCGTAAAAGTCTCACGTTAGCACTAGGTTAACGAGACTTTCCGTCTTTATCTTACCTCTAATATATACTCATAACTAAAAACGAAAATGAACAGGCATATATAGATATAGGATGGTTTGGCCAATTGTCGTTTAAATATTCCTGTAACTCGAATATATGACGACCAAGATGGTTTGGTCCCCGGTATGGTCGCAGTCTCTTTTCGATTTATAGAAGTGGGTTGATCTCGTTTTCGCAATTTGGCCTTGTTGTCAGGCCGACTTAGTAGAACTCATCTTGTCCGAAATCCTTTACCAAAGTAATTATCATAATTCCAAGCATCATATAGTGGGCTTGGTACATTCTCAGTGAGTATTGTCATTTTTTGCACCAAACTAGGAATTCGTCAAAAGAGTCAAGTGAAGTGAATCCCTTGATCAACGTTCTGCTAAAAACGGTTACACTATCACTCCTCTTTTTGTCCTGGCCAACCTATTAACTATATCTTCTTATCAAACTCCTTCCATATCATAACTTCTGACTTGTTTACATTCTACTCTTCAAAATATGTGCCCTTTTTTGGCCTCATCCATTTCCTTAATATTTTCGTAGTTTTTTTTATTTAGTTCGCAGGTAGGTAGGCATATC